GGGGGGGGGGGGGGGGGTCCATCCCAGTAAAAATTAATCAAGACATTAAATTTGATGACGAGTGAAAAGAAAAAAAACCCTAAACAATTAAAAACGTACACTACTTTCAAACGTGGAAACCTGATTTCGTAAAGGAGTTGGTCGGTGATGGGGATGTGGAGGCAGATTCGCTTTCCTTCACTTCTTAAGCTTCATGAGAATTACTCCTCCTACTATCTTTATAGATGTCCTTGTTTTTTAGGAGAGGAGGAGGGTCCAAGGTCATTTTTAGTTAGTTTACCACCTATATTTGATTACTCCACAAATTTCGGGGGAGGGGGCTCCGGACCCCCTCTAGATAATTGGAATAACATTAACATTAAAATATGTTAAGTGTTTAGATAATGATTTGATTTCATTATTCTTTTTGAGAATTATTCAGGAATTTTATGTAGGCCTATAACGTAAAATCAAGAAGCAACACCGGCGTTAAAACACAGACAGAAAAAAAATACAGCAGTGCAAACGTGCAACTTGCTTTTAAAGTATTTGTTGATTTGTGAGTATATAAAATGTCTACATGAAGAACTACAAGCAACACAATGAGAAAAAAATCTTAACACGAACTGCAGTTTCATACATGAAAATTTCAGAAAAAAAATAATTTCGATCCACAAACCTACAAATGCTGCATAGAACAGGTGCTGTATGCTACGAGAACGCATGAAGATTATAAAATATAATCAAACTCATTTAATATTGTCAATTTTCATGTATGCAAAATTTCAAAGTATAAACATTTTATACTTAACAGTGACTTTATTTGTTTCAGCGTATGGTTAATTATTCATTATACTAGCTACAGGATATTAAAACCAGCGAAAATAACTGAACAAAAGTTTAATAAATTCATTTATTTTGTATGCTTTATATTGTGTAAAATCTGATGAGCCTTTGGCTTAAAGAAATAAACAAACAAACAAAACAAGTTTGTATATCGTACGTATTCAACTTAAAATTGTCCGTGAAATGCACATGTAGGATTCAAACATGTAACAGTAAATACAATGTAATAATTTTAGAATATCCATCGGTGGTATCTTAAGAAAATATATAAAAATGGAAAAGAAACGTATTCTACACAAGATATGACGATCAACATACTTATTCATTTATACTTTCACTCTGAAAATAAAACTGAACAACGGAAATTGGAAAGGGAGAAAAAGGAACATGTGCGTTTTAAACGCTAAAATTTGACGTCACAATAAACACGTTTTTCTCAGCTTATGTCATTAAGCCCGGTTTTGTCAGAGAGCGGTCCATATATATATATATATATATATATATATATATATATATATATATATATATATGTATATATATATATATATATATATATATATATATATATATATATATATATATATATATATATATAACAGTGGTGTATATCAATCCTTAGGAAACAATTTTCTGACCAAAACCTTTTCTCTCTTCAGAATTGCGAGTAATGTTGCTACCTAAACACAACTTGTTTACTTATATATCTGCTGATCACTTCGTCTATCCTTCTCTCTCTCTCTCTCTCTCTCTCTTTCTCTCTCTCTCTCTCTCTCTCACTTCTTCTTCTTCTTCTTCGTCTTCGTCTTCCATCAAAGCTCATCCCTCAGTTGACTGAGTATTGTCGAACTTCTGTACATACGGCGACAAAGGACTGTACACTTAAAAGAGTCTGTATTTACAATTAAAACCAGGTTCTTCTTTACTCAGCCATCTGGATCCCTGTTTTGAAGGCCTCCAGGGTTGGCAAGACAACTAGTGTGTCTGGCAGGGTATTCCACAGGCGGGTGGCTGACGGGAATAATGAGTACTGATGAGTCTTGATCCGGGAGTGTGGCACGATGAATTTCATCGAGTGTCCTCCGGTTGTGGTGGTAACAACTGGAGTCAGGTAGACTTGTGATGGAATTGCAATCAGGTTGTTTACAATCCTGTACATCATGATGACTTTCATGTTTTGGCGTCGTTGTTGTAATGACGGCCAATTAAGGTCAGTTATCATCTTTAATACGCTGCTGTGTGTCGAATAGTCCCCACTAACAAAACGTGCCGCTCTACGTTGGACTTGTTCCATGCTGTGACTCAGTAAGAATGCTGTTGTTCTCTAGGTGTTTCATGACGACGCTGAATATAATATGCTCCAGTATCTTGCAGCAAATGGGTGTTAGGGATACTGGCCGGTAATTTGATGGTTTACTGCGGTCGCCCTTCTTGAACAGAGGTGTAACAAAAGCATTTTTCCAGTCAGATGGTATTTTGCCCTGTTTGATGGAAGCTTCATAAATTAGGGTCAAAGATGGTGTAATCTCATTAGCTAGCACTTTTAGAAACTGTCCAGAAATGCCGTCTGGGCCTGTGGCTTTGTGTGGATTTAAGCCAGATAACAGTTTCGGTACTCCCTTTTGGTCAATGGAGAAGTCCGGTACCTTTGGATGGGTGCATGTGTCTAGTTCAGGTACACAGGTTGTATCCTCGGATGTAAATACAGAGGTTAAGGATGTTCGCTTTCTTTATACTGTCACTTTAGGTGATTCCGTCCTTGGTTAGTGGAGCAACGCAACATTTGCTCTTAATGAAAGACCAAAAATGTTTGGGATTTTTATTGATGTCGTCATTTAACATGTTTCCAATGTAGTTGTTGTGAGCTTTCCTGCATTCGAATTGGCACTTTGATTTCATGGCTTTGTAGTGTTCCCAGTCCTTTGGATTTTTTGATTCCTTAGCTCGGTTGTAAGCCTTTTGTTTGTTCCTAGAGAGTCGTTTAATATCAGCATTTATTCAAGGTTTACTAAATCATGGTGTTGTTTTGGATGGTACAAATTTGTTTAAAAGTTCATTTTTAAATGCATTCCATAGTATGTCTATAGGTGTATCTTTATTGTGTGTGTTCGTAAAGTTGTTACAAAAATCAGACATTGCTTCCTTCCGGTCTCGGATGCTTGCCTTCTACCATAGGCCGCTGGTATTTGGCATACACTTGTGATTGTATACTGACAATTTCATGGTCGCTGACCCCACACAATGGTTCGCATGATATGACAAGTGATGGTCGGTTTGTTGCGAGAATATCCAAGGTGTTGTTTCCTCTCGTTGGGAAGTTGACAATTTGTTCTAGTCCGGCGTCATTGATCGATGACAATAAGTTCTCATTGATTTCTTTTCGGTAGTTGCTGCTATTGATGTTATTACTATCCCAGTCGATGTCAGGTAGGTTTGTATCTCCATACACCCAGATTGTGTCTTCCAGGTACTTAATGGCAATATTACGGATTGTATCGCCAAGTGCCTGTGAGTATTCCACATCATTATTAGTTGGTCGGTATATTGATGCTACAATCAAAGACTTGTTGTGGTTGCATTCTATTCGAGTTGCTACAACCTCACAGTTTGTTTGCACGTCTAGCTGTTGGCTTATGATCGTGTTCTTAACAGCTACTAAGACTCCACCATAACCATCTTTCCTGTCCTTCCTGTAGCATCGTAGATGAGTGGCATTACCTCCGAGTTGTGTATGTTGCTGTTCAACCAAGTTTCACTAATCGCTATTACATCAGGACTTTCATCATCAATAACATTCCATACTGATTCTTTCTTACTTTTTAAACTCTGAGTGTTCATAATTAGCAGTTTTAACTCATTTGCTGGCTTGCATGTTGTGTGGTTTGTGTTAATGTTCAGCTTGTTTGGTTTACCTTTAGTTGGTGTAGATGTGCTAATAGGTATTCCTGATAATGATGGATCCACCTGTGATAGCACGCCAAAGTACGATGATTGAATAATAAATGATTTCTCTAACATACTGCTGGTTGTTGTATTAATAGAACTACATTTGGCACAAATCCATGAGATGTTTGTATTGGATAGTAAGGAGTAAGTCTCGTTATTCATGTTGATGCATGTGGTGTGATACCAACAATCACAACCATCACATTGTATCCCTGCTTCGTTGTCGAGAACTTCATTACCGCATACAAAACATGGGTATTCAATGTTTGTGTTGTTTTTATAAGGCCCAGGGTTTGGATGGCAGTCTGATGATTTTACTATTAATAAAGTACACAGGTAGATCAGATGAAATTTTCCACCAGAAAAAGTGCTACATGATAGGCTGTTCAAGTGCTTTTTAGTCTGTATGAATATACTCTCTCTCTCTCTCTCTCTCTCTCTCTCTCTCTCTCTCTCTCTCTCTCTCTCTCTCTGTGTATATGTTTATCCATCTCTCTCTCTCTTCACGACCTTAGTAAATATTCTTTAACACAATATATCGGCGACACTATGTACAAATGTTCACGGTACCTATTGTCGCAGACGACAAAGTGTGCCGATGCGTGACTGCTCAATTTGGCGTCCATTATGCAGGAGAAAAAAAAAAGCTCATCTCGGGAATTGTCGACGGCGACAAAAAAAAGGCTCATCTCGGTAAAAATTGTCGACAGCGACAATATGTACCGATAGACGACAATATGTGCAGTAATGATAGGTATATATTGTCGCTGAGGGCAATATGTACCGTCTCATGGCATCTTAAGTTTAGACAGCTACAGATAAATATCACCTATAATTTTAAGATCGCTCCCTCCCTTCAACTAACGGTGCCTTAAACATGCTCTTAATTAAAATTCATTATGACCATTTAGTATGTCATTAAATTAACATAAAAAGCAAATAATTGCTTCATTATTCCATATTTGTATTTCTTTTTTCATTTTTTACTCTTCGGAATAGTTAATATTTTTTAACATTATTTCGGAGAGGACACAACCTTTAATACTCCTTGATGTGAATATGACTGATTTGTCAACTACATCATGTATACATCATGTATATGGAAGTTTGGCTAGAATTCCACTTATTAATATGACACCTATTACTGTACCAGTTAATAATGAAACTCTTAACTTTGAATATTATTATCTATAGGCGTTTAGTAACAATTTTCAAATTTTGTTTTGAAATAGTTTGTAGGGATGGATATTACGGACGTTATTGTGAACATGTATGTGGCAAGTGTTCACCTGTAGCTTCTTGCAACAGCGTTACAGGAATTTGTCCAGACGGATGTCAAAACCGCTGGAATGGATCACAATGTAACGGTAAAACCTACTGGGTTAATGTAATTGTAAGTTCCATTATAAGGAAAATCTACTTACACATTTCCCTAAAAATCTTTGATGATTTTTTTTTTTTGAAATTTAGAAGTAAAAAGTGTAATTTATTGCTGCCATATAAGTTTAGAAAATTGTGTTTTTCACCCACGACACTTATTTCCTTGTAAGCAATTCAAGATCGAAACTCTTTACGTACTATGCCCAGTGGAAGACTCCTCCACTTGCTGAGAAAAAGAAGAAAAAACTGCATAAAGAGAAAATCTGTAAAACAAAATATCGATATAACTTTATGCCCAGTAGACTGTTATCTTTTCAGTTTGTTCTGATGGGTTTTATGGACTTATTTGTGGAAGTAAATGTGGACAATGTCTAATTGGGACCATCTGTGATCAATCAACAGGAGTGTTCCCTAAAGGATGTAAAGGGAATTGGACTGGTCCAAAGTGTGAGGATATTACTTCAGATCACGAATCCACAAATGCATGTTCAGGTGCGATTAATGCACACATCTTTTTGATGTACATGTAAAAACATACTGTTACAGTAATAGACTTAAACATAGGTGATGTCTACGTTAGAAACGCAAGAAAAGTTAAACAAGAATATCCCCTATGTTCCAACACATTAATATTTATTTTACTCAGGATTAACAGTACACAATACTGATCTCGCTTAATTAACCCCCACGTGTAACGGATGCGGTACTACTCGAATAAATCAGCACGCATGAATATTTACGTTTACAGTCGTAACATTAATTAATCTCCTTAATTGCATTATTACAGATATAGAAAAACTAAGCAGTCTTAAAGCTTAAAATGACAAAATTGTGGTCAAATAATGCATTTTATGATCATATTATTTCAATAAAAATGGTTAGGTAAGAAACAAATTGCGGATTCTAAAAAAGTTTATCCTTGCATCAGAAATCGAATCCCACCTAGGGATGATGAGACCATATAAATTGAGGTCCCGTGTCGCAGTGAGTGCTTGCACGTAAAAGTTCCTTCACTGCTCTGAATGCCTAATGTAGACCTAAAATGTAAAGTTATCAACTGGCAACTGGTGGCTTCTTATTTTTAAAAAGTGAAGTTAACGAACAGTACTCGATCAGATTAAAACAGTTCAATTATGTGAAAAGAGCATAAACATTGATTCCAAGAAATTCCCGAAGTGGGCTTAGGTGCGTAGAAGGAATAAGCATCTTCTCTTGATCGGTCACACCTGCCGTGAACCCTATGCCAATGGACTTATTCAGAAGCATATCCCTGGGTTTATTATTTTTGCTGACGTTTTCAGACCAATTGTTAGGTCTTTGTTTTCATATTAGATTTGACCACGGGATGTTCCGTCTAATTGATTATTTTATAAATACGTAGGGTTCACAGCAGGTGTAACCGGTCATCAGAGAATGTTACCTCCTCACAGTCATCAGCCTTTACCTTTGAAATTTACAGCGATTTGTGTTTTAATCTTAGTTCATAAACTTATATACTTAGTTTTTGATATGTTTCGTTGCTTGTTTATTAGTCCCCTACCAGGGAGACCGGAGAGTACTATAGGTTTCCTCTGAGTCTGTTCATCCGTCCGTCTGTCTGTCCGTCCGTCCGTCTAGCTGTCCCTCTGCCTGTCTGTCAGATTGTCCCACTTGGTTTTCCGCACATTTTCCCTAAACGCTTAAAGATATTGTGCTGGTTTTTTTGGTATTTAAGTGTATCTTGATGAGTTACAGATCAAATTTGAATTTCGTTTCGCTTCATTGATTTTTAGGGAATTACGGCTTTTTTTTAATTTTTAATGGTTTTCCGCACTTCTTTTCTAAAGGCACATATTGAGCTAATTTTTCGTATGTGAGTGTATCTTGATGAGGTATAAATCAGGTTTGAATTCCGTTTCGCTTCAATATTTTTTTAGGGAATTACAACCTTTTTATTTTTAAAGTTTTTCCAAACTGTTTTTTTAAATGCTTTCAGATAGATATCGAGCTGATTTTTGGTATATGAGTATACCTTGATGAGTTGTAGATCAAGATTATGTTCCGCTTTAATGATTTTTTTACGGAATCACAGTATTTTTAATGGGAACCAGATTACACTTGCCGGTAGGGGACTAGTATAGCTAATGCAATACTCTCATAATGCCTGTTTTCTTAAGGGGGGGGGGGGGGGCACGTAAATCAAAAGTAAATTCTGAGGAAACCATAAGATTTTTTAGAGAATTTCAAATCGCCATCTTTCCTCCCCGAAAGTTGTTAACATCAAAACATACAATTTTTTTTCACTTTATACAGCCTTTCCTTGCGATTTTAAAGAAAGCTTTATGATATCATCGACGAAATTTCCGTAACCTGTGATTGGTCATTAAAAAACTACAGAATTATAAAATATGTTTTAATTCAAAACAAAAATACTCTAAAATACAGAATTTTGGGAATTTTTACCGGAGTGCTAACTTTAGCTTGTTTTAATGGTTTTGAAGTAGCTCGCTAAACTTTTAATCGCTAAATTTGCACCCTTGCGTATAAGTACTGAATACAAGAAAAACTTTGTTCAGTCTGTTGACAAACAATACATCTCTCATCTGGTGTTGATTTTTGCTCAAAATCTTGCCTCAAGCGTATATAAAACCTAATGAAAACACATCCAGAATATGAACTTCCTCTACTTTACACGTCAAAAGAAATTTCGCCAAAATTACTGGCATACCTTTGAGCAAGCAAAACACCAAAGTTTACACCCACTAAAAAAATCCGCTATACGGTATTAACCCCTTTCACATTCACTCATTTTTGGCTAAATTTAAAGGCTGAAATAAGATTTTCCAAAAATACTTCCTAAATAAAAAATACACACCTGAAGATATATGTACCATAAATGAAAACATTTGTCTGGATGTCAGGATGAAAAACATGAAATAATATTTGTGTTGCCATGGCAACGTTTTGCATACTGGTCGGAAAAAGAGCACAAATAGCACAATATTTGTGACAATAAATAATCGAAAACTTGAATTCAATTCTTTATAATTTTTGCTGAAAGTTAAAATAAGCAAAAATAACCTGTTACACAAATAGCCTCAGCATTCAAGTTTTCACAAATAGTATATTTTTTATGGTAACCACAGATACACTTTTTAAATTAATGTCGCTTAGCAACTAGTCCATATGACCAAAATTTGAAATTTTCCACTTTTTTAACAACAACCTTTGTTTTAACACATCATTTAGCAACTATTTTTTTATAAAAATGTTATAATAACATTATTTTATTCAAGAAGCATATAAGTAGTGCATGAAATATTTATTGCCCTTACCACTGAATCAGAAACATATGGCTACAAACCTTGTTTTGAACAGAAATGAAATTCAATAAATAATTGTAAAAATATAAAAATCTTTTAATAATAATTGTTATTTTTATTCATTGAAATGCACATTAATAATTCAAACAAGTATTTTTGAAACGTATAAATTTTTTTTTCACATTTCCGTTGCTTAGCAACCATATCCGTTAGTAAGTGATAGAAACATTACAGCCCCACAATCCAAAATCTTTGAGGAAAGGGGTTTGTAGAATTTACCCCGTCTGTACCATTTTTAGTATTATTATTATTATTATTATTATTATTTGCAATGAAGTGCAATTTAGTTTTGAAAAGTCACTAGAAGTTCCTACTTGACGAAGAGGATTCTAGTGACCCAAAATGTGTAATGATCTTGTCCTGAGGTCATATTATTAAGTTCAAGGTCATTTGTTAAAAATATGTAAATATCATACATGTATCTGGTCCTCAATTTTGATATGGAGATATATCCGATGTAAATATTTGCCACTTTGGAGTTTCAGAGTAGCCATGACCTTGACCTTGGGGTCAGGGGCAATTATAGACAACATTACTTTTGCAGCATACACAGTCTCTGTGGTTTTCTGATATTATTATTGTTAAGCAATGATCAACAAAAATGTTAGCATAGGAATGCAGTTGGTGATTCTCAACCATCAATAAAATGGCTAGACTCTTACTGTATTCAATCTGGCCAAAGGTTGCTGAGACCCCATGGACTGAACATTTAGCGTTATTCTTCATGAATTCCTAAAGAATAATGGAAGAATTCACAACCATGATATCTATACTGTGAAAAAAACAAAACTTTCCTCCGATGAAAGATCGACTTAATGCTGCATGAATGCTTGTTCAGCATTTGGTTGGATTTGTCAAGCCCTCCCATGTTACTGTTGTAATGCTGAGCATTAGCTACGTCTTCTTACAGTCTGATCATTCATTTACAGTTCTTTGACAATGTTCATTTGCACACCTATTATTGAAAGGAGAAATTGCAGTCTCTCCTCTGACACCTTTTCAAGCAATTCAATGTCTTTAAAGTAACAAGGCACAGCACTGCTTGTTTGTTTAACAGCATTTATGAGATAGTTACTTCTGTAAGAGATCTCTAGCCAAATGTCTGTATACATGTATACATGGTATGAAATCTGTATCCCTGGTTGATCAGGTCCCTACTCTATTTGATCATCGCATTGTGTGCAAGTCCTCTGGTTCTGCTGTTAAGTTCTGTTTTCTCCTTGCCAAGGCAAACAAATGCACAAGCATAACCAGTAACAGAATCTGCTACATGTAATACATGTATCCACAACTTGAAACCAAGATGTAATGGTTTGTCACATGAATTCACTGACTTCTGAGAGCTGATGCTTTGATGCTACCATCTATTTGTCTCCAAATAATTATAGCTGAAACTAGGACCTGAATATAGACTTCAAATGTTCCAAAAGACAGTGCTCTGTTGTAAGCTTATCATCTAAATAGAAATAAAGTGATGTTTTATATAAAATTTATGCAAGTATGAATTAGGTATATAATACACTTCAATTTCTGTCATTTTTCAAAATTGCACAAAGGAGACTTTCAAAAATGCATTCCCATGTTTTCATGCTAGAGTCAAAAACAAGGTTAAAATCGTTGCCCTTCACTGTTAATCGAAGTAAGCTTTAGATGTGCAAAATAATATGGGTATTACATTAGCCCCCATTTAGCTTACAAAAAATCTAACTTTAAGTAAGATTGTTTGTACAGATCTAGAAATTTCCTAATGAGAAACTTATTTGCTTACCTTCAACGGCATCAGCATGGTTTGCAGAAAGGAGACATAGTGATGCTCATGAAAACAACATCGTATTTATACAAGGTGCAGGTTGATCAATATCTCTCCAATGTTTGGCGATTCACTACAGACCTGTAGACTGGAATGCCCACAAATCTGAAATTAAAAATGAAACAAACCATCTTACTAGATTTACAAATCAGCACTAAAAAAGACTTTTTTAAATATGCTTAAGCTAAAGGTACATGATTTTAACACAGTTTTGATTAAGTGTGGCACTGCTACTCTGATTTTTTCCCCTTTACATTCTCATATAAAACTTTGAACCCCTATTGTAGCTGAACACTATCCATCATTTGAACACGGGACCATTATTTGAACAAACGTGCATCTGCACTGCCTTGGAATGCATGCATATTAATATTTTTAACCATTCTTGAGAGGATCATTTCAACAATTTTTCCTACTGATTTCCTGTTGTGGCAAAACCCTAGTTATGGGGTCATGATATTAACGAATTTGAACTTACCATATGTAAGGAAATTCTCCATTAGTTTTATCTTTTATAATTTTTTTGTCAGTTAAATCACATCTTTCTTCACGTTGTTATCAGTTATTCTTTGTCAACAATGTTTCGTTTATTCCTTGTCAACAAGTCATTTCAATAGATAATTATTTATTTCTTGTCAACAAGCCAT